CCGTGCTCCCCACAGGCCTGGGCCGGCCAGGAGGGGGCTGGGTACAGAGCACAGGGGGGAGATGAAGGTTTCCAAACACCTCCTGATCCTCACTGTGTGAAACTCAAACACACAGACCCTAGCGTTTGCCCCCTCCCACCCCCGGCAGTACTGCCTGGCCGGCCGGCACATAAACAGCAGGGGCCTAATCTCAGAGCTCTCATCCGCCCAACCAGAAATTTCCTCGTGGTTCCCAGAGCAGATCCAGCCTGGACTGAAGTCTGGCCAAGAGCAGGCCCCATATGCAGGGATGCTGCATAGCCCAGCAGCCTCTCCCCTCTCAGTCTCTCTCCCTGCCCCCCAGCTGTGAAACGTACAGGTCCCACTGAGGGCAGGTCTATGCTTAAAACCCTGCAGGTGCACCACTGTAGTGCTTCAGTAAAGACGCCACTAAGTCCATGGGAGGGCTTCTCTCATCAGTGTAGTTAATCCATCTCCTGTTGACTTAGTGCTGTCTACCCCGGGGGTTAGGTCTGTTTAACTGCATGGCTCAAGGGTGTGGATTTTTCCCCATGAGTGACATAGTCATACCAGCCTATTTCCTAGTGTAGACCTGGCCTGAGATGAGCTGAATTACTAACCGTTACACCATGGGACTGCACTGCCCTCTTTCACTATGTCCAGGCTAGAGTTTGGGGACCCATTGCAACTCTCGATTGCCAGTGAACTGGAGTTCACTAAAACGCCTTTGCAAATGTTCATCTAGACACCCCACAAATGGTTTCTTCAGACACATGGAGAATCTGTGGTAGCAAATGCGTGTGGAGTGTCTGGACTAGACTTCTAACTGTGGTAGTTAACATGAATTAATTGGTAATGAATCAACTTGAGTTACCACAGGGCCACAAGCTGACAAACCCACTGGGGATCAGAACTGAGGTCTATCTAGTAGTGCAGTAGTTTGTCGCTGATTGTGGCCAAAACCAAATACTTCAGATGAAAGTGTAAGACCCCCGCAATAGACAGTGATGGGTGAACCCTGCAGGTTCCATTCTGAACCCCGGTAGACAGAGGTTGGTTTAAACCCTGAAGCATGAGCTATAACATCTCTTCTATATGCTTTGATTTAGCAGTAAATATTATAAACTTTGGATCTTCTTATCCATAAAATGTCCAATCCCTCTTTGTCTCTTGGTAAAATAGGTCAGAATTTCTTCCCTCCCCCTTGTAAAATGTTAACTTTTTATTTAAATAAACAAAAAAACAAGCAAGCAAAAAAACCAACAACCCCCAAATCCCCCAAACCAAAATATTTCTGATTTTTGGAACTGAAAGCCAAAAAAATTAGGCCAAAAACTGCAGAGGAGCAAAAAAAAACCCAACCAAAATATTTTTATTTAGGCTGAAAATGTTTGTTTTTCAGGCTCTCGGTTTTTCAACAAATAAATGACAATGCTGGAGGAAAGCAGACACTTTTTTTTGCAAAACTTTTTGTTTAGTTGAAAATCCAGTTTTCTGACAAATAAAAGTTTAGTTGGAAATTTTTGAACGAGGCCTGCTAACTTCATAACCATCAGCCAACAAAAGAAATCTACTAGCCCTTCGACTATTACACTGCATCTCATTCTAATGCACAGCAGCCCTGCCCTCCAATCCCTGTCATCCCAGCCTCCGCACAGAGATGCTCAGAGCTCCGGGTATACCGCCCTTTGGCCTCCATTTCCCTGATTACTGGGTGATTTTCCATACACGGCAGCTCTCTGCTCAGGGCCGGCTCCAGGCACCAGCCGACCAAGCACGTGCTTGGGGCGGCACCTGGTAAGGGAGGCGGCCAATCTTGGGGTGGTGGTGGGGCGCTTGCGTTTTTTTTTTGGTTCGGTTGGGCGGTGCTAGGGGTGGGGTGGGTTGTTTTTGTTTTGGCGGCACGGCGCTCGGCGGGGGGTGTTCGGCGGTGCAGCGCTCTGCGGGGGGGGTTTTGGTGGCGCGGTGCTGGGGGGCGGTGTTA